AGGTATTTGCCACGCACTTTGTTTTTCATATGAACCTTTCTGTCACTTGGAGCACTTCAAAAGAGATGTGCTGGATCCTGCTGAGTAGCGATGGAGAGGTCACTGGAGCGTTGCCCTGAACAATACACAGGCTTCTCGGTTTCTCCTTCTCGCTGCATTTGCTGCTGTTTCCTACAAAGGAAGAAATGTCCTTCCTTTCTCCTGATACCACTAATCATCTCCATCATTGGTACATACTCACATCTATGTGCAGACTTTGCTTTCTGTTTAAGATATTCCTATTTAATCCTGACGACTGCTACATTCTGGACCCTGGCGGATGCTAACGTCTGCCTAATTCCTTCTATTAGCTACCCCCTCCTCTTACCATTTGTATGGATGAGGAGACAAAACCAGTCAAGCTCAGGATTTGCTGAGTGGAAAAGCATCTCCGGAAATTGGTTTTCTGTTACAATTCTTTTGTAAGAGTTCTTTCTCCATTCTCTTTTAACTTTGGCAGAAGAGGTCTTTCAAGCAGTTAGCAGGATAGTGAAGGGAGAGCTCTATCCAGGCAGAATGCAGCAGATAATTGTTAACTCTCACAATGCTCGTTCTGTCACATAGTTACATAAATTATCCATCTCTCCTACCACCTACTAATAAAAGGAATGATTTCTTTTCGGCTTAGCGAAGAAAGTCTTGAAGAGGGTTTTGAAGTGGTAATACGGTGTATTTGCTCAAGAACAACTTTCTTACAAAGAGAATGCATAAAGTGCAGAAATACCAGCTTGAGAAATGAGCATACAAAACAAATGGACTGGCAACATTAAAAGGAATGAAAGGGCCTAATAAGCTGCAACTTATTTTTCCTGAAGCAGATTATTGTAAAATGTTTTGTAAAGTGTGAACTAGATATGGTATTTTTTTTAAGTGTGGTGAAATGTGTACTTAGTTGCTATTTTAGTTACTGAGTGGAAAGAAAGACTTTTAGTCTAATTAAAAACTAAAATACCTAGACCTTCAGTGCGGAGAGAATAAAAGGTAGGATCAACCAACTTTTTCAAAGTAGTTTCAACGGGTTCAGAAAGAGTGAAGTGGATGGTGGTAGGTGTTAAGATTACTTGATACCCTGTAACAAACGATAGACATTCTGAGTTAATGTTGATGCTGTTGTAGGTATAAATGCTTCTCTTTCCTCTGAGCTTTGAAACTTTTGAATAGGCCGGTGTTGTCATCAACATCGTTGTTTAAAACGTTGTTCTGCTCCCTGCTGGGAGCCATCTTGCCAGTCGTAATGCGAGGAAGGGTGTGTGGGCACGTTTAGAGCCGTGAGGACCCGTCTTTGCTTCCGTCACCGGAGGATTCCCCGCTTCCTGCAGCTGTGGCTTGTGTGGATGGAGCAGCTGTGCTCTGTGCCACAAGCATCGCGGGCCGGGAGCCTCCCGGCTGGATCCAAGCAGCGCTCCCAGCCAGGCCCTGCACCCAGCTCTGCCGGTTACTCCGCTGTTAGCGCCCTCGTCGGTCTGACAGCCTAATTAAACACTCAGGAGCCGTCATTTTAGTAAGGGTCTGTTAATCTTCGTTGTCATTATTTAACACCTAAAAATGACCTGTGCCACAAGCGTCGCGGGCCGGGAGCCTCCCGGCTGGATCCAAGCAGCGCTCCCAGCCAGGCCCTGCACCCAGCTCTGCCGGTTACTCCGCTGTTAGCGCCCTCGTCGGTCTGACAGCCTAATTAAACACTCAGGAGCCGTCATTTTAGTAAGGGTCTGTTAATCTTCGTTGTCATTATTTAACACCTAAAAATGACAACCAATTGGGAATAAACCAGACCTGACAGCATCAAATCCACAACCAAATAATGCCCTACGTTAGATTTGGGGTGAAAATAGTAGCTGATGCAAACCATAGTCCCCATTTAATTCTGGTTTGTATATTAAATTCTTTGTAAAAAGAAGTGAATATTTCTCTGCACATGCTAGAAAGAATTCTTCAAAAACAGAGAAGAGATTCAGCTCATATCTTCATCTTAAAGATGGAAGAAAGTCTTCCTCCTTTCCTAGTCCTGAGGAAACCAAACTGGCATCTATACCACCAGAGTCAGGAAAATATTTCCCTGCATCTTTCTATCTCTAGTCCATAACTTTTGACTTGAAGCACCTAGACCCTCCTCCTGAGGTTCACTTTCAGCATACGGTTGGTCTGAACCATTGCAGTGCAAAATCAGACTCACTGGGACATCAACTATTATTAATAGGTTCCTCAGTGTCCTCCTCACACTGAGGAGAGTTTAATGTTTGCCTTGATTAGATGACAGGCTGAGCAGAGGACAGCTCTAACCTGAAACTAGGAAGCATGAGCTATACATTGACAAAATAATGCCAGAATTTCTCTTAAGCTAATCAATCAATTTACCCATGCTCTTAAAGTTACGCTCCACATCTCCAAAAAAATTGTGCTTTATATTTTGTTCCTGTATGAATAGGCCTAAGCCTTTCATGTTGTTTCCTCATGTTTGTAGTGAAATGAGAATTCTTTAAATTCCATAATGCTACCTCAAAGAGATTACTTAGTTGAATTATTTAGTGTATCAGCACACACTGTAAGATTTGCATTGTCATTAGAATTGTAAAGCAACATCTTTGGCCTGCTTCAGAAACAATCCAGTATTCGAATCTGTGAAACTGCTCTGTGTATCAGCTTGCTCATTTCTATTAAACATTGCGTATTGAACTTGACAGCTAATACAACGCCAAATTCGAGAGAGCACCTTTGAGGAATGGGACTGTTTACTCACCTCTTGGGCAAGCAGCTGCAGTGGGACCCACATTCGCATGAGGACAAGAGAGGGATAATTGTCACTCGCCTCGTCATCCCTGTGGTTCTCTGAGATGTGATCAGTATAGATCCCATGCCGCTTGCTTTTGAAGGCTTCAGATTCCAGCTGTTTTGAATTATGAGGGAATGGCTAAAAGGTCATGTCAGAACTTCCCTTCCTGACCTCCCAGGAGAGCATGCAGAGTGCAGGGCATGTCCACAGTGCCAGCAGAGAGAGCAGGGGATGATATTCTGAGCGTGTGTGTTTGGAGCGATGCACTGCTGGAGGAAGCTGGCAGAGTGAAGGCTGCCTTTTTACTTTTTTTTTTTCCCTGTAAAATATTGAGTGATAAGAAGCCTGCAAAGTTAGGAGAGGTAATTTAGTCTTCCGTAGTTAAAGACAAGAAATGTACAGAGTTTGAATCATAAAGTATTTAGATACTTGTAGTCTTCCATTGCTGCCAGTGAAGGGAACTAGTATAACAGATAGTAGAATTTGACCCTAGGGCTTTTGATGGAATATATTAAAAGGGATGGGATCATCAAATGGGAAGCACTGGTTAAGATATAAATAAGAATTTCAGCTGAGGTAGAGTCCTGGCAATGTTCCAAAATGGTGGTAGTCAAATTTATGGTTTAACAAGAGGTGGGAAGGGAGAAAAGAAATAAGATTTTTAGGGTCAGGGAGCATTCTACATTATCACGCTTTGACAGGCAATTTAAGTTCTGCAAAAGAACAGTAATAGTGGACTCAGAAACTTGGAACAAAGAGAATATTTCATCTATAGCAAAGCTTTCAGTCTCTGAAGCATTTGGTAATAAGACTTTGTTGTGTTTTGGTTTGTCTGTTTTTGCTGGTGGGTTTTTAGGCAAAGATCTGGCAGAGAGACTCTTAATTTGTCACTGCTTCCTACCTCCCCACCTCAACTTCCACTGCATCAGTTTGTGCTAAGTAAGGATTGCTGAATCCCGTCCAGGGTCAGGGCGGGGAGACTGAAAGATCAAAGATGAAACCGGATGGGATGAAGAAGAGTTTGTCATCAGGGTTAAAGGAATGAGTAATATTGCCTGTAGCAGTGATCTGTGTTGGGGACAGGAACAGAAGAAATGAGATGCAGTGGATTATGTTCCTTATACTTTGCACTGATAGTTTAAAAAAGAAAAAAAGCATTATTACAGAAAAAATTGTGAGTATATTTTTGTACCGTTTCAGCTTTGCAGGAAACTGCTGATGCAGAGTCAGCAAACCCATATTATACCAAAATGAAGTTAGAATAATTACAATAAAATTCATTTCTGCTGGTATGACATATTATTTGGAAGAGAAGGGAAGCAGCCCACAGATACTAAGAAATTGCATGTGCTCTGTGTATCACAATATAGCCTTATGGTGATTTTTTTTCCATGCATTTTTCTTTTGAAGCGTTAGTTGAAGGGTTCATTCATTAATCTCTGTGTTGTCTAGGTTCCCTGAGTAGTTCCCCCTAATACGAACAAGCAGATTGGCTCCATGGTTAGCTCAGCCGAAGGTTTTAACTCGCTGTTGGTGTTTCCAACACACAAGCTGGTGGTGAATGATGTTCCTCACAATCCTCCCTGCGTGTTATCCAGCCACCGTTACCACAGTGGCCAAGGGCCTCCTCATCAGAGCTCTACCAAGGTCTTAGCCATGTTCTGCAGGGCAGGGAAAAGAGGAGTAGCAGTACTGCTGTCTTAGCCCTGTACCACCCACAGCACCATCCTCTCCTCCTGCATCGTTTGTTTAACCTCTATGGCTAATCAACAGATCCATCGGCTGGCTGGTGAAATCAGTTATTTTGGTAGGTCATTTAGGAGCTCGGTTAAATGATACCTCTCTCTAGTAGGATCAAAAATGGCGGAAAAAAAAAAAAAAGAGAGAGAAAAGGCCGTAATTACCACCTGTCCTTTTAAACATTGATTTGGGACTGGCACAAGACTCAGCGTAAGAGTGGTGAGTTGTTTGTCAATGGCATTCAACGAAAGCACTGTATCATTAAAGGACTGTCGTGGTAATTGCTTGGTGCCATTGCTAAGTTGAACTATTAGTCTGTGAGTGCTTGCTCCTGTAATTTAATTTTTTAATGTATGACTTGCTGTTCTCCTGCAAAGTGTGGAAAGCCATTATTTGTGTGATTTGTTGTTGCGGTTAAGAGCGTCAAATAACCTGTATCCTTTACCACCAGCAATGCATCTGTTTGGCCTCAACTGGCAGCTGCAGCAAACTGAAAATGATACATTTGAGAATGGAAAAGTGAATTCTGATACTGTGCCAACACATCCTGTAACAGTACCTGCTGGAGAAAATGGTAAGGGAAACAGACACCAATTTCATTTCTTATTTTTTTAGCATTTCCTATCTTTGTGTTTTATTTATATCATTGTATCTTAACACTTTGCCTTTAAAAGTTTGGGAATTCAATGGAAAAAAATGAGCTTTTGTAAGCAGTAATGGTTTCAGGTAGACCTGCAGATACCACAAGGGAGTTGTATTTCAAATGGAAAGAAGCACGCTGTTCCTTCTGCCTTATGGGTGAAGGAGGTGATGAATTCTCAGTGGGGGCTGATGTCAGTATTTTTGGCAAAGCTGGCTGCCAATACTCTGACCAGAATTCCTCACCGGAATTCACATTGACCAGGTGAACAAAACCAAAGAAAAAGCAAAACCTCCGCTAATCCTGAAATCCTTGATAACTTAACAGCTGTTGTGGTGTGCCCAGAGACTAGGACTGCCTCGAGGAGCGTTGCCTCATGGTGCTGGTGGCCAGGTCCCACTCTACAGAAACCACCAGGCTGGGGCGTGCATGAAGTCCAGCCAGAACAAGCTATTTTATAACACCAGGCCAGATAAAAAATGAAGCTTTGGAGTCTCAATTGTCTCTGGATAGTTTTCAAACAAAATCTTTGTCTGTCTTCTTCTTTGGAGATCTTCCAAACTCGCCTGGATACGACCCTTTGCCACGTGCTCTAGGTGTCCCTGCTTGAGCAAGGGGGTTGGACTAGATGACCTATAGAGGTCCCTTCCAACCTTAACCATTCTGTGATTCTATAACAGAGGAACATGAACTCTTTTTCTAAAGCACTGGCACTGGAAAACGCTTTTCAGCATCATTTGCAGTATTTGAAGCTCCTCTGCTACATGTAGAAGACAACTTGTAATCAAGTTGCTTCCTACGGCGTGATCACCTTGTGTTTTTCCTACAGATGAAGTTTTCTTTTTTATTTTTCTGTTCTTTGTTTCACTGAAACATGATAGGTCATGTGTAATATATTCAGTTGTTTGCTCCAAGTGTCTAACATATAACATTGAGTCTGAATCATCCAACCAATATATAAAGTCAAAAAAAAACTTTATTAATTTTTGTTGTAGGAGCTTTTAAAATACAAACCACATAAAAGGATTATTTTTATCGACCTTTTTCCGTGTTGCCCTTTAAGATCTTCCAAACCTTTAAGAGCCTGAGCACTTTCAGCTAGCAGAGGCTTTAAAATCAATAGTTTTTGAATGGAAAACTTGATTTAAATGGTTGATGAATGCGGTATTTGCTTCATTACACAAAAATCCATTTTCCTTTTCACAAGGTACAGTTGACCTCCTTACCACTGAGGAGGAGGAAGCTTCTGCCAGCATTTGATATCTTGAAAAATTTTCAAGTTATTACAACTCCAAGTTAGCGAAATGATATAGCACTGTTCCTTCATTCTCTCATCTTTTTAAACATATGAAACTTGTTCAGCAGGCCCCCTTTTCTGTTTTCATTTCTGTTTCTCTGATGTCTTTTTCTTGCACTCAGATGTTCTCTTTTCATGTTCTTACTCGTTCTGAATGAATAGAAAGAAGATGGTGCGTGGCTAATGAATACAGTGACAGCTGATGATCCTGCTATCTTTTGGCCTGTTATACTTTGCCTTAAATATAATAGGAAAAAAAAAAACATAATATCAAATCTTGGTTTTCCTTCCTAATGTCCATAAATACTGTAAAATAAAGCAGGGCTATTCTAATCCTCTGTTAACAATCAAGCCAGTGGTCATTTGTCAGCTTACATCAATACTGAAGGACAGACTAGAGAATATACATTTTAAAGGAAATTTAAGTGGAAAGGGAAGTATGACGACTAGATATGAAATTCAAGTAGGAGGGCCCTGAGCTTTTGTACTTATTACTGAAGCTCAAAGGAAGAATCAACAAGGCATAGCACAGCTTCCAGTCTAAACTTTGACTAGTCCTGGGCCTTCTTTGGTCATAAAATCATAATCCACTTCAGAAGCTTAGAGGCTTAGATCCCAGGCACTCATTTGCCTTTCAAACGTACAGATATTTTGAGTGATGAAGTAGCAAAGGGAAGCTTTAAAAGGCATCCTTATGAACTGTGCAAAAATATTCAGCTGTGGTTTACCTAGAATCAGCTAATCATAAGTTTGACAAGAAAAGCATGTGAAATCATCCTTAAATGCAAGTTATTTGTTAAATGAAGCTTGAATCTCTGAACAAGATTTTCCAAGGTTTTTTGTTTCTTTTGTGGATTTATTTTTGCCTCCCAGTGCTTCTGTCTGTATGAACAGCAAACTACTGGAAACATATTCCCTGCTTACCTAGTGAGGCATGATTCGGGGCTGCCTGAGAATATGTATTTTATATTGATATGGAGAATTTTATAGGGCGTTTCAGTTGAAGTTGTCCAAAGCACTTTATAAGCCAGGTTTAATCAAACACCTGTTTGAGGTGCATGAGTACTTCAATAGGTTTTATAAGCAGGAGTAGAAGAGACAGGCAGGTTTAAAACACAGCAACCTGAAAATTTGGTTAGCCACTGTGTTTTAACAGTTGGTCACGTACCATATGGTACTGTCTGTATTGTATATGTCATATATAAATGTATATATGTATATATTATTATAAATGTGTATGTGTATGTGACATGTACATGACATGTATATGTGTATATACATATATGTCATATATAAATGTATATAAATATAAATGTTATATGTCATGTACATATTCCATTGCCTTCTCCTGGAGAAGCTGGCAGCTCATGGCTTAGACAGATGTACTCTTTGCTGGGTGAAGAACTGGCTGGATGCCTGGGCCCAGAGAGTGGCAGTGAATGGAGTAAAATCCATCTGGTGACCGGTCACGAGCAGTGTTCCTCAGGGGTCAGTGTTGGGACCAGTCCTCTTTAATATCCTTATCGATAGTCTGGGTGAGGGGATTGAGTGCACCCACAGCAAATTTGCAGAGGACACCAAGCTGGAAGGAGGAGTTGATCTGCCTGAGGGTAGGAAGGCTCTGCAGAGGGATCTGAACAGGCTGGATCAATGTGCTGGGGCCAACCATATAAGGTTCAACAAGGCCAAGTGCCAGGTCCTGCACTTCGGTCACAACAACCCCATGCAGCTCTATAGGCTTGGGGCAGAGTGGTTGGAGAGCTGTGTGGCTGAAAAGGAACTGGGGGTGCTGGTTGACAGGCAGCTGAACATGAGGCAGCAGTGTGCGTAGGTGGCCATGAAGGCCAACAGCCTCCTGGCTGTATCAGGAACAGTGTAGCCAGCAGGACCAGGCAAGTGATTGTCCTCCTGTACCGGGCGCTGGTGAGGCCGCACCTCAAATAGTGTGTTCAGTTTTGGGCCCCGTGCTACAAGAAGGACGTTGAGGTGCTGGAGGGAGTCCGGAGAAAGGCAACGAAGATGGTGAAGGGGCTGGAGCAGAGACCTTACGAGGAGCGGCTGAGGGAGATAGTCTGGAGAAGAGGAGGTTCAGGGGAGACCCTACAGCTCTCTACAGTGACCTGAAAGGAGGCTGTAGTGAAGCCAGGGGTCGATCTCTTCTCCAGAGTAACTTTTGATAGGACAAGAGAAAATGGCCTCAAGTTGCGCTGGGGAGGTTCAGGTTGAACCTTAGGAAGAATTTCTACACGGAAAGAGTAGTCAAGCATTGGAACAGGCTGCCCAGGGAAGTGGTCATTCTCCCTGGCACCGTCCCTGGCAGTGTTTGAGAAACATGTGGAGGAGGCACTTAGGGACGTGTTTTGACAAGCATGGTAGTGATACGCTTACAGTTGGACTCAGTGATCTCGAGGGGCTTTTCCAACCATAATGATTCTGTGATTCTCCAATATAAAATTAATTTGCAATTCAGAAATACCTTATAATAACCTATTCTTAATTAACAGATTTATTTTTAAATGTAAGGCAGGAGAAAGAAAGAGATTGGGGAAAGGAACACTTCTTTAGGCTTACTTAGTGCACCTGAGATAAGTTAGCCCTTTTATTTTCATTAAAAAGCATCTACTGAACCTGATATGTATTGAGCTTTTTGTTTTGTTTATCATGTAGATCACGTTAATTAAATGTATAATAGCTTCTTAATTAGATGTTCTATTGATTTTTCTTCAGAAAAGGTGTGTTTTTAAGGATGATTTTGATTTTTTTTGGCATGCAATAACAATGACATTTAACAAGAATGTTAAGTTTATTGCCCATAGTTGTTGCAGAGTGATGTATAACAAATGCCTCACAGGAAAAGATGTGAATCCAAGGTTATGCAGTGGAATGGGAGAATATGCTATTGATTGTCTGTAAATCCAGCCTTGCAACCTAATAGTCTAATTAGTGCTGCCTGTGAAGGAAGGAAAATGATATTATCTGTGGCACCATACAGCAGTTATAGTTAAGCACTTCTGTGTTTTGATTATTCATTCATTTTTATTCTTTATTAAAGATATTTAGTTCATCACCCAATATTTTGTGTATTAACCTCCAGAATGTTTGTAAATATCAGGGGAGAGCTTGGTTTCATGTAATTATAGTGGTATCTTTGTATTATTATGTTTCTTCTGTTTTTCTGTTAAATATTTTTATAAATAATTGTTTTGTTCAGGATCTTGTCCACCCTAGCCTCAGTAGAGCAGAACTTACAAATAGCAAATACAACAGATTATCTTATACATTAGCTATAATGCATTGCATCACCTGTATCGTAAGTATATAATTGTATATATTGACTAATATGCAATAGAGTAAAATTGTGTTTTATAAATTAAATAGTAAATAAGGCAGGAATGTAGGTATAAATCATGGTATAAGTTTATTTACCTGTAAGTATTAATGTTTTGTGGGGTTTTGTTTATTTGTTTTTTCCTTTTGGGGAGGGGTTGTGAAAGGGGGATTTGGCAGGAGAAGAGTAGAAGCATGGTGAAAAGAAAATATTCAAGAGGTTAGGTATTTTAAAATTGTTTTCATATTTGGAAAGCTGCATCATTGTGGAATTATGTGAATAAATGTGACTTATTTTTGTATTTTGACTTAAGGCTGTTAGACTCAATGATCTTGAAGGTCTTTTCCAGCTATAATGATTCTATGATTCTATAAAATCTTGCAAGATTTTAGAGGGTAAGAAGGAACTGATGAAATTACTAAAATATTTCATAAGCCTTTTGCAAAACAGTGTGGAAAGAGAATAATAGATGAAGCCCTGTTATTAGAATGACAAAAACTAGTGAGGATTTTGAGAGAGTGAGTGTGATGTTAGAGGCATGTGGTTAAAAGGGAATACTGCCTCTCATTTGGTGAAGTAAAGGAGACCAGGTGGAATCATTTTCTCTTAAGGATAATTGTTTAAAACCCAAGGATAGGCACTTCTGATGGAGCTGGGCAAAATATATGTTTGATGAGGTCGGTCTCTTCAAGCTGTCCAGCTCATCTTTCCACAGTCAGAGGTCTTTGCTTTTCATTTCAAATGTAGAAATAGGGGAAGTCGCAGATCGATGAAGCAAATAAGTGTTTATTGTTCAGTGATTATCAGTCATCAGTGAGTGAACTGTATGACAAAACATGCCTTAAATTTGAAGGACATGGTAAGAAACAAATGTTTAAGGGAACTGAAACAATGCCATCTTCTAGAATAACATATAAATATTGTGAAAGGTTAAACCCAAAATTATAAATGGATGAGACTCATCCTGAAATGCACAAAAAAAAATTCTTTGTCCAAGATCAGATATTTCACTGTCTTTTGAAAGCAGAACATTGATCAGTCAGAGGATGCTGTGAGATTTCCAGTGACTGCAATGCTACTGTGACATAGCTATGAGGATGATATGATATGAGCCCCACTCAAGGCCTCTTCGTAGTGCTACTCTTAATTCAGAAGCAGTTTCTGTTCATCTTGGATGCACAAAAAGTAGTGAAGATCAATCTGTGACCTCACCTGGCATTTCAGATTTTAATCTTTTTGTTTGTTTGTTGTTGTATTCTAAATGTTCGCAAAAAGATTGTGTCAGTTTGTTCCATCAAATGATGAATAATGTAGAATTTAATCATAACAGACAGGGCAGCAAGAGAATGTTGGCAATTGTTTAGCAAGTTAGCATCACTGGAACATGCTGAGCACATCCAGAAGGGCTTAGTTCAATCCTCACAACTAGACCAACTGCTGAAAAAAGGAAAATAAATTGGCAAGAGCCTAGTGGGCTCTGCAACTGTGACTACAGCTCTGTTTTTTCTTTGTATGGCTTGAGTCCTTCAATCAAGGCTCGTCTTGATATGCAAGGTGGTCAAATGCAGTGTTGTTTGCATGCTTTAAAGTTGGTACATGTTGGTAAACAAGTTGTTATTAAAATCTTTACCTCTAGACTAAGTTTGATAGCATTGGGTCCGTTGAATCAAAGTAGGATTTGATCCTGGCACCAGCTGCCAAAAATGTAGGTGTCCACAACACAGCATGGTTGGGTGCCTGGACATCCGACCTGTCCTTGGCCTCAGCAGAGGTGGATGACTCTTCCAAGCCATCTCAAAATGTGACTCTGGATTTGTGCAGACCACTTTCGTTAGTGCCTCCGTCCTGGTAGCTCTGTTCCCTCCAATCTGGCAAGGAGAAGACACCACCACGACTAAGGCACAGTCTGTGTGCTGATGAGCTTTGAGGTACGTCTGTAAGCTCTGGCAGATTTGGAGTGCTGTACAAGCAAGAACACTGCAGAGATCCCCAAGCTGCCAGCGACTTGTGCTATGTCTCGGGTACGGCAGTGCCTTGCTCGCTTACCATCGCGGGCTCAACCACTCTGACCTGCTGCATTTATTTTAAAAAAGGAAAAAAAAAATCCTCTACGTGTTCATCATCTTCACTTCTTCTGGGCTTTTCCAAACCAACATCACTGAGCTGCTACGGCTAAGTAGTAATTGTGCTAATGCTTGATAACAAATTACTATTAATTCCCTTCAGCATTATGTTCTTATTTCTAACAATTGGCCTTCAGAGCCTGTACCTATTCATGGTATAGAAAAGAGTGAAAATATCAGATTCTTACAGGTTATTATTCATTTTATTCGGGAGACAGTGTGGACAAGGGAATGGTATCAAGCTTGGGGCAGAGGCTCTAAAATGCAGGAGAGACAGGCATAAAGATAAGGATCCAGTGGAACAAGAAATACCACCCTTTTGTGGAGCTCAACCACAAAAAGCAGGGAACCAAAGATGTAGACATTGTTGGTATTGTATAGATGCTCTAATATTTCATGGAGAACAGGCTATATATAACATTCCCCTTGACTGAGTATGTTTGTGGCTAATATTCTTGAAATCTCTTATTGCATTTCCCTTTATCTTATGTGTTGTGAGATGTATGTACACACCATGCATGCAGGATGACCCTGTATTTTAAAATGCACTTTAAAAAAAGTGGTAAGAATACGTCCTAAAACACTCTCCTTAATGCTTAATACTTGTAATCCGGAGGGGTTGTATTGTTTTTACTTAGTAGATATTTGTGTTATATCTTTGCTTTGTTTGTTCTAAATCAGTGAATTCCCTGGGATCTTTATCTAAGATGAGTCTAATTCATATTAAGGATAACTGAACAAGAAGGGAATACTAATTTTTGATCTCTTATTATTTTAACCTGTCAGGAAAAGTAGGAGGATTTGCACAAGAAAACAACACTATAGATTCTGGAGAACTTGATATAGGCCGAAGAGCAATACAAGAAGTTCCCCCTGGAATTTTCTGGAGATCACAACTCTTCATTGATCAGCCACAATTTCTAAAATTCAATATATCTCTTCAGAAGGATGCACTGATTGGAGTATATGGCCGAAAAGGCTTACCACCTTCACATACTCAGGTGAGACCCATTTGCATAAAAAGTAGGAAACAATATTGAAGACCATGAGCTTATGTCTTTTGCATGTTTTTTTATTTCTCAAGATTTCAGCTTTATTATTGTTGATAATTTTTTTTTGCACTTTATTGATCACATGCAATGTACAAAGTATTTATATTACTGTGAGTGA